CATTATTTTAAATAGGAATAATATTACCTTAGATCAGTCAAAATAAATATTACAACTCTAAAATTATTTATTAAAATTAATTTTTTTATCTTATCTAGCCTTTTAAATTGTTCTGTTTTGTTTAAATTTTAACATAAATAATAATATTTTAACACTAATAACTCTAAATTTCACCTATTTATAATATATTTAAATTTTAAATTATATATGACGTCATACCAGTTTTTTGGTTTTTTTAAATTATATATGACGTCATACCGATTTTTTGGTTTTTTGTCACGGGTTAACGGGATTGACCCAATATCCGGTTTTTGTCACACGCTAATGAAATTAACATAGTGACCTAGTAACCGATTCGTCTTCCGGTCTGAAAACATTGGATTCGACACTGCACAACAATGTATAGCCACGATGCTAGCTAAAGTACGTTTCACAAAAAAATTTGAAATTAGCAAAATGGGAAAGTTGAAGATGGAGAAACCGTGATTATACCATAGAAAACTAAACTTTCCGACATGAGCCGCTTACCACATCAACGTTACCTCTCCATTGTTGTATCGCACATAAATCAAAGAGATTGTGCAAAAAGGAGAAATCAACAAACATGTTGATGTTGGAAAAGAAAATTAGTTAAAGGAAAAAATTTTGTACAATGATTCATAGGGACATAATTCATATGCTCTCTGTCCTTAGATGATTATTTAATTTAAAGTTTCACTTTTAGTACACATTTTATTAAAATTAAATATTCAAATTGGAAAAAAAATTTTGGGACAGGTTGGATGGATTAATTTGTATGGAATAGCAAAACAAGAAGTAGGAAGAAGGATTAATAATTTCCATTGACAAACTTGAAGCCAGAAAATATCCATTATTCAATTGAAACTGATAGCAATCTTGCCCACTTAGATGCTTTATTAAGGTAGTCTAAACCTTGTACTACAAAAGTTTCATGAAACTCTAAATCTCTAATTATTAAAAAAGATGATGGAGATGACCACCAAAACAGTTGCCGGCCATGATCTAAAATTGTCGACGCCAACGCCACCGCTTTTATGATGACGATGATGATGATCGCCTCCATGACCTCCTCCACCTCCTACATGGCCGGCGCTGCCTCCTTCATGGCCTCCTCCGCCACCGCCTCCAGCAATAGCCGATGACAGGAGTAGGCAAAGGATGGCCACGACAAGAACAAATATACTAAAATAGCTCTTCATGATGATCAAAGGTTCGCTGTTACTTTGCGTTTCTCTAGGAAAAAACAACTATTGCGAGCCCTGTTATCGACTGCTCAATTTCTTTTTATATGTCATATTAGGGTTTGCAAGTAGTGTTAAAGACCAGAACTCCGCGGGATTTTGGAAATTTCCCCAAAATCCGTAGAAATTGTGCTACAAGTCATGTAGAGTACTTGTCGTTGTTTCCCGCGTTCTGAGACATATTAGGAAAGTGAAGGTAATTACTGAAACATTATTTCTTGAATCACTTATTTTATCATTCCATCAATTAACGCGATACGCTTCACACTTGTTCATTGGTCGTATTCGTATTATGTATGGGATTTATTAAGTTGGTGTTACAACTTACTTTTCAAGGCTCTTCTTCCCTTAAAAAGCAATTATCGATGTGTTTTGCATTCATACTATTTTCATGTTAGTTGCTATTTCATTACCTTCATAGAAAAGTTATGTTTATTATTCTAAACCTTCGAATTAATGAACAGTAAAATTATTTAAAAAGTAATGAAAAGATTTTGGGACCTCAGAAATTTTTGTCCTTAATCATGAAGTTTCCGTAGTGGAGTTCGCAAGGCCCCATTAGTTTTATTATTAATTAAAACTACCGTCACCAACTCATTAGTTTTAACCTATCGATGAAGAAAATAATGGTTGAAAATTATATACTGTACATATGTGTACCACCTATACTGCTCTTAATTAAATGTGCTGAAATTATACAAAAGATTAAAATAATTAACCAGATAAGTAAGTGGTCGCCACTAACACAAGCTATTTAACAATAAGAGAGATAATCAAGTACGACAAAGAAGAAAAAAAAATAGTTTGGATCTATCGTAATGCGACAAAATTTTTTTTTAAAAAAAAGAAGAGTAAAGGTAATATATATAAAAGCTACTTTATTTTTTTTGATTAAGAATTAATTTAAGGATTAGGGACAAATTTGTAGAATTAATAGGGCTAGGACCTTCTTGCAAGAATCTCCTACGAGTTTGATACAATAATTGCTGGCCAGGAGATTCAGAATGGGTGAAAGTTTGAGTGATGGATTTTTTCCCCCCTCATTCATCCGCCAATGTGATATCGTCAGAGATGTGTCGTCGTTGTGTGGTTGCCGGAGTTTCGGTGACTGAAATAAACAATAACATTGACCTAATTATTTTGTTCAAAATCCCAAAATTTCAAGGCAAAAAGCTCAAATACACTAAGAAATAACTGTAAGTTGCATAATGTGAAAAAAAAAAGTTCCTATAAACGAAAGCATGCATATAAAATTAATAGTGACCTACAGATGTATAAATATCTCAACCAATTTTTTTTTTCCAATTGCTCCGGACATTGTTAGTTAACATAGCAATCTGTACTAGGTCTATCATTCGTCGTGCACGCATTTTGTAAATAATATAATAATATGAGTTACGAAATTAAGAAATATTATATGGCGATGAAGAACATAGAAAAGATTTTCAATTAGAAGAAATTATACACTGTAGGTTAGAGGGAAGAACCTTTGTGGCGATGAAGAACAAGCTCAAGGACAAAACAGCGGAAGCCAGACAAAACATAGATGATTCCCCTGAAAACTGTGCCAAGAGTATACAAAAAGTATGAACTTGCAATTGCCAGGGAGGTAGTTGTAACGAGTAAAATTGAGCGGGAGTTAGTTTCTGCAATTTCAGAAGGCCGTTTCTTTTCCACTTTAGATACAGGCCAATAGTTGCAACCGTGCCATATGCAAGCATACCAATCTGTCAAAATTGAATTAAGAAAAATAATGAAATCTCTTGATGACCCCTTTCAAGTTCCATGAAATCTCATACTTAACAAGGAAATAATCGGAAACGATAGATTGCACAATCAATAATTTTTATAAATTCAGATTATTGTTTAGAGCATCTATTTTAAAAAAGGCAATCATAAATTAATGCATTACATATTACAAAAGAGAAAAAGAAAAGGTTTAGGACACACAGGAGAACAGTCAAAGTCATGGCTAAAATTTCTAAAAGTAAAAGATCAAGGGTTAAAAGAAATAACCCCCTATATCATCAGTGGTTTCAATCTGCTTATATCTGCATAATATCACAACTCTTCTGAAAAAAAAAAAGAAAAGAAAAAGATAACAACTTTAACACCCCTTTCTAAAAATCACTTTATAAGAAACCATAAGCCACGAAATTCAAGTAACACGAAGGCCCCGTGTTTCATGCCATAAACCAATCCATATTAAAGAAGAAGTTGTCAACAGGGTTTGTTTTTGGACCAATCTCATTCATCATATTCATTGAAATATCTGAAAAGTTAAGACTTTTGACAATTACGAATGATATTCAAATTGAAGACCATTATATGATATTCAAATATGAAAATCATAATACAATTGGAGAAGCTCAAAACTTCTACTATATAAACCAAATGGAAGGGTAGAGCGTTTTAAAAAATCTCATAAACAAAGGTGCAATAAATAGCAAAAGTTAAAAGAGAAATTAGCATTCATGAAGACATTAATAAGTACCTCTCTATGGAGGAAACTGAGAAAGTGGAAAAGCTTTAGAGATTTGGAAATGGGGTGGAAATATTTGAGGTTCTGGTGGCATATTTATGTAGGTTATCGGGAAATTCATATATTAGTATCCAATTTCAAGACAAACTTTGAATTCCTACTTCTATGAATTCTAGTCCTAAATAAAGAGATAAAATAAGTCTATTGCATTGGGTTGAACTTCCAGTTTCTCCCTTTTCCTTTTCCTCTTTGAAATTAGAACTTTTTACTTATATGGGTCTGGAAACTTCTGGACACAAAAGGCCACATAAAGGCTGTTGTGGTCGCAGATACCCTTTTCGCAAAACAGATATGCGATTTTCACACAAAACCATGTACAACGAAAGCGGAAATACCAAATAACTGCATCAACACATTGCGGTAGTAAATATATCCGCATACAAAGAATGCGGTTTTGTTAAACCGCAAACTGCCGATGCGGTTTTTTTTGAAACATTAATTAAAATAAAATAATTAATTACATTTAACTCTACTAAATCTGAGTTAATAAATAAATCACATACGAGGTACGCAGAAATATATAACTGCAATACTGGTTTCGGCATTACCACAATTTTGTAATGTGGATTTAACTATTTGATGTTACAAAATTTTCAATGTGGATTTATGAAATTTGTGAAAAAAATAATAAATAATAAAATATAATTAATTATTTTGTGAGCGAAAATATTTTACTACTATATATTATAATATGTTATGCTCATTTTAGTGTATAAATTGATTATTGCGATTATAAATGTTAAAAAAATTGATATAAAAATTTAAGAATTAAATTTAAAGGATAATAAATATTTAAAACTTTAAAATGTTGAGGATACATGAAAAAAAAATAAAAGAGAGTAACCGAAAAATGACGCACTAAATATATTATTTTCAAAAAAAAATAATTGATCTAAACCCATAAATAAGGAAAAATAATTAAGTTTTCTTAAAATTATGATAATTTATTATTTGTTGACATTAAACTTGATAAAAGGTAAAATAAGTTTTAGAAATTATGCAAATGTTTATATAGTTTTCCAATTATAATTGTTGATAATACTTGAGATAGTAAATTAGATTGATGCAAAACTAGGAAATGTTGTGCTTGATAAATTATTGTTTCACAATATAACCAACATACTCAAGCCAAAATATCAAATTAGTGCAAGACATAACAAAACACCAAATACTACAAGTCATAACGCTACACAAAGCTACTTGCGCTTCTTGCCCTTGCCCATTTGACCATCAAGGTTATCTTCACTGAGTCCGCAACTAGCAAGCTTTGCAGGCACCTTCATATTTCTCGGCTCCTTAGCCAAAGCCAGCGGTGTAAAAGATAAATTATGATGCGGTCCTTTCTTCCTGCATGCTTGTTGACCCGCAAGCTCTTTGAACCCTGTATAAGAACCTCTATCAATTAATTCTATATAAATTAACAACCTCTATGAATAATTTAAAAAAAACTAGTCGATAAAATAATAAAATATTAATTTATCCGTATTATTGATTTATCGAATGAATAAAATGTACCCGAGCTCCAGCCTGATACTGTTGAGTCTGATCTCTAGCCTGGTCCTCAAAACAACGCTGCCCCGCAGCAATATCAAACCCAGAACCTAAAAACAGGTGGCTCTGGAACTGAAACGCCTCCTGAGAAAGTTGACCCTGGTCTGACATACCAGAAGAAAGAAATTGATCACCAAAATCCAGCTGAGTCTGGTGCTGTGGCGACAAAGGAGGACGGTATGGAGTCTGATTTTCCTCAAAAATAGGGCGATACGGACTCTGGTGGGGCTGTGATGATGACACGGCCTGCTGCTGGGGCTGTGATGATGACCCACCCTGATCCTGAGTGTAACTAAGTCCGGGCTGCCTCCCACCTCTTCGGACTCCCACCCTAGGAAGCGCACGCTAATGCACCACAGGTGGCTGATATTCCTGAGTCGGATCTGCATTGACAAAAATCTAACTCTCACTTTCGCTCGGGAGTACCCAACACTGGGTCCTCTGCAATGACAAGGCTCGATCAGCAGTTTTTCCGATCTGGTTGAACGTTATATGACCAGAAGACTTAGGGTCGGCACCCATGCTAAGGAGACTAATCCTCTTAATATCGGCGACTAAATTGGCCTGCACATTTATAGCAAAATATAAAATCATAAGTATAAAAAAAATTATAAAAAAAAGTAAGAGGAAACAAAGTAAGAACACTCACCCTAACGTGATACGCCTCTGCCCCTCCCTGGAAACCCCTTGTATGCCTCTTTCTAGGGTCCATAACAAACCCACAGTCTTGAGTTGGTACCATGGAAAGTACTCGTCATCTGTCGCGGGAAAGCCAATGCAATCATCAGAACTCCCAACAATGTGACTAGCTCTATCTTCCCAACCCGGACATAGTCCTTGTGAAAATCTTTCCAACCCCTTGTCTTGCCATATCGCTCTATCTTGAGTAGATTCAGTAAGGGTTCTTTTGCCATAAGCAAAATACCATCGGGTATGCCCTGTTTGAATCCAAATTGCCTCATAACCCGAGCAGGAATGGGTGCCTCAACGACATTAAAAAAGATCATATAGGTCTCCGATCTCCAGATGTGATGGCCGATAAGGCAAGATGGGTGAATACTATCGAAAACAGTGGGCGAATACAGAAACCACATTAGCTGAAATATGACAAATGTATTGGTACAAAAAACAGATTAACATAAAAATGTTCAGATTACAAAACGCTTTTTTATATAAAAAATAATAATAATAATAATAACAAGGAACGCTTATATGGTACGAATGTATACCTCCGACTCCTGAAGAACAGCAAACTGATCCTATAGGCAAGTAGATTATTCCTCGTGATATTCTTGAAAACTTTGGGACATCTCCACCTGCATTGTTAATGTAGCGTCAAATTAGCCAATGTACACAGTATCGAATACAAATCCAATTCATTAAAATGATACTTACTTTCTAGCAAGGGGACATTCCCTAAGATCTTGTGGCTCTAGACATCGTAATTTTGGCTGGATATTCTTAATCTTCTCCCAAGCCCAAAGCTGTCTAAATCAAAATATTATATGTTAATATTAAGTTTCTTAAAAAAATCACACAGAATCACGAGATATTGTGTAGTATATATACCTGTACGAGTAGCAAACATCCGTATATGGATTTCCCCTTCCCCATTGAAGCTTTGCACAACTCTCTATACAAGTTGCCTAGCAGGGCGCTCCCCCAACTTAATTGTGCACAACTTTCAACGTCTGCTAGTGGGCCTATCAATAAAACGGCATACTGTCCCTATTTGAGTCAGGGAACAGTAAACCTCCTAACATACATGCCACTAGACAACAGGCCCGCTGTAGGTGTTCCTCCATTGATGCCGTCGGAGATATGGCATTATTTAAGTGAGCGTACAGATCAGTGAGATAGAGTTTTCTGTCTGCCACATGGGACTCACTGGGGCAAAATCCGAACAACCACAACAAATATGGACCCCATAACTTATTCTCAGGCTCGACCTCAGGTCCAGTAATCGGCTCCCCATCCACCTTAAGGCCTAGAATGACCTCTACATCCAGAAGGGTAACGGTCGCCTCACCTATGGGAAGATGGAAAGTATGGGTCTCTGGACGCCATCGCTCAACCAGAGCAGTAATCAGGGCCCAGTCAAGGAATATAGACCCGATACGCCTAAGCAGGCCAAAACCCATTTTATGAACAAACTTAAGAGTCTCTGGCGTTTCTGATTATAAGATTTCCCGTAGGGTTCCATCCTGCAGTCTACACTCTATTTCTTCTTTGAAATTGGGATTGCCATGGAAAACGTGATAGGACCTATGAATTTTTTGGAGATACAGCATGCTGTCCTGTATAGGTCCCTGTTGGAGATGGAGACGTGCACCTTTCAAGGCGTTGTTGTAACTCTCTGAGGCATTGGTGGTCATTACACCCCAACGATTGCCACCATCTCAAAGTAGGGTCCACTTATTTGCTCCGATGCTATCAAGCCACTCTGCAGTTGCTGGACTTTTACTGGCCAACTTCTCCCACGCCTTTACGCACTTTGTTGCGTTCAGTGTGTGGCCAACTCTCTGACAAAGGGGTCTCAACTTCTGCCCAGAAAATTTCCCTGCAATGTTAGCCTTAAAGTGCTCTAAGCAGAATCGATGCATGCCCATATCAAGAAATCGTTCGAGCATCATGTCCATAGCAGAAAGGATACCCAAGTGCCGATTAGAGATAATGCATGTCTTCCTGTTCCAGGCAACAAACTCCTTCAAACATTTCAGGAACCACTTCTAGCTGGGAAAAGTCTCCTCATCTACCAAGGCAAATGCTGCAGGAACAATGTTGTTATTTGAACTCTTGCACACTGCCATCATCAATTTTCCCTTGTATGCACCTCGGAGGTGGGTTGCGTCGATGCTAACAACCGGCATAGAAGCTTGAAAATAGATTATAGCTGGCCAGAAAACCCAAAAAACATATCTCAATACCCTCTTGTCTAAATCTTTAGTGCCTTTTGCGAACTTATACTTCACCTTAGTACTAGGGTTAGTTGCACATTATTCAGATGGCAGAGAGTAGAAACTTACCAAAACGATTCAAACACCAATCCTTCTTTCAAATTTTTGCATTGCTTTCGCCGAAATTTCGTATTTCCGATTGGAAGCTCTCAAAGCTGAAAATCATATAATGAAGAATGAAAGAAATGCCCATTCATGTTCTGTTTTGGTAGATATTTGTACCAAATTCCGCATAGGAGGAATGCGGCTTTATAAGTTTTTTTTTTTGTCAACTTATCTGACACGTGTCGTTACCGCAAGACATGTTCAAGTTTTCTGGATAAGACTTAAAACCGCATAGGAGGAATGCGGTTTTTATTTCCGCAAATGGAGTATGCGGTTTTTTATTTGAACATTCAAATTTTACCGCCTTATGAAATTATTTTATTAAAATTGTAATTGTCAATACCGCATTCAGGGTTTGCGGATTTAGTTTATTATTTTTTATTCGACATCGAATTTCCTGCCGGTTTTGACGTTTTCTAAAAGCAAAAAAATTAAAAAAAATTCCGTGTACGCAGTTTTTGTAATTCATTTCATTAAGATTTCCGCAATGCTATATTGCAAAAAGGGTATTTACTTCTACAATTTAAAAACCTAAGACCATATGTGTCCACAATTGGTCCTTTTTAGGGCATTAATCTCAATCTCCCTTTGAAATTAAATAGAACTCCAATTTATGACGTCAGGGAGTCCCATATAATGAAGAATACTGATAAACATAAAATTAGTAAAAGTAAAATCAAAGAACAAATGAAAAACGAAAATGAGAGTGAAGGGGAATTCACCCGATTCACAGGAGATTCGGGGTGCGAATTGGTTTAAATTGGCGTCACTCCGAATAGCATCATGCATCTATGTTGGTGCCTGGGTGATAAGACAAGCAGACAAAATTTTTTTAATAGCAAAAAAAAAAAAAAATTAGAAATTAAGTTTTGCAGAGGAGGCAACATAATTTACACTGGAATTAGTTCATAATCAATTCATCAAAACAAATGAAAACAACAATATTAGTTGAAACTGTAAATAATTAAAAATTTGGAGTCATCTGACCTCAGTTTTTATTACAATTATTCATCTCAACATGCTAAACATGAAGGCATAAGTGCTATAGTCAACGAATAGCTGCTGTTAAAAGCCTTCGTCGGATTTATTGGACTTGTTCCATGGTCGGATTTGTCAATGGGGGGAAGGAGGAGGAGGAAAATGGGAGAAGATGATGCCGGCGGTGTTGCGAAAATTAGGAGAGGAGAAGATGTGCCGATGTATCTGATCGTTGAGCGGCCGAGGAGGAGGAGGAGGAACAAAATGGGAAAAGGCCGGCGTTGAGAACCAGTAGGGGAAGGAGAAGTAATTGTTTTCTAATAAAAAGTCTAAAAAGTCAAACGGCGTCGTTTTCAGCGTCTATTTTTTGCCAAAACAAATACCTTTTAGACAATGGAATTTTGTAATTACATATTTAACCTTGTTAAAAATTGTGCCATCAAACAAAATTAGGCCTTTTAGATTAAACACCATCTAGTAAAATTTGACCGTTAGATTAGGACTCAATTTTGCATTCAAAAGACGTTTACTTCACCTTTTAGAAATGTAAAACTTGGACGAACCAACTTAATTTGGTCCCACGATCAAGTAATAGAACATGACTATGTGATAAGACTTAAGAATATATTCTTCTCATTAATATTGTGATAAGATCAAATCATAATTTTGAATGTAATTTAATATTGAGATATTGTGTAATTTAGTGTAGTTAGTGTAGAATATTATCTTTATGTATTTAGAGTTTTCATTGTATATAAATACCACATTCATATTGTACTTCAAGTCAAGGAGAAATACATAACAATTTCTACATCTTTCACTATGTGCTTCAATTCGGTTTCAAGATCAATTATCACCACATTCTTTAGTTTATTAAATGAGTTGTTTTCACTGTTCATGGCCTTAATTGTATCACATGCCATTCTAGGTCGATTACGACTGATCTCAGCTTCTAATCTCTCTTGGAATTCTTAATTAATACCGTAATTTTAATGGAGAGCGTGCCATGCATTAACTTTTCTTTTCCTTTTTTTGTTTGTTGGACGTGACATGCATGCATTAACTTAATCATTGCGTTGTTTAGCTAAAAGTAACGGTCAGCTCGCGGCGTTTCAACATTCCCTCCAGATATGCTCACGAGATAGAAGTCTTTCAACACAAAATTAAGATTGAAATTGATATGATTTGAAGTATTGTGTTAAGCTGCAGTGTTCTCTCTTCACTGAAATAATTATCCCTTTTAGATTTACATTGAATATGAAAATCCAAAGCAAACAATTATTTGACCAGAAAGAGTGCAAAAAAACTCGAAATGTCTGTACGGACATCATTTCACAATGAGGTACGCTGGACATGTTTGTTTCCACGTTTTGTCTTCTATACGAAACTAACTATATTTTCTTTATTAGAAGGAGAACCTAAAAAAATGACAATTAGGTATCACGACAATAACAAAACAATTTAATTACCTTATTAAATTTATGTCTGAAAGAACTAAGCCGAGCTATTATAATAAATTCAAGCAAATTGCAATAGCCATGGCTTCCCAAAACGTGTTCCAATAAAAACTTCTTCGAGTAATCCAACTCGAACTCTCCCAGGGACCATGTTTGAAATTAGGGTTTGACTCATATAATTGTTGTATCCCATCCACATCATCCTTTGAGAGCTCAAACTTTTTAGTATTAGGACTTAGTGTTGGGTACATGATCGCCTTCTTATTTGTAGAATGACACAATCCTAGTATATGACCGATCTCATGGAGTGCCACCGATTCCAAATCAATGGCTCCTTTTAACCCTAGTTTATATTCATCAGTAGCCCACATTTCACCTTGGTCAAGACTGAGAACCCCAAATTCTGGCGGGTAAGAGTTGGCCGCAATACCGAGCGGCCCATCACCGGAATAGAATCCGATTTTAATGTCAGCGTGTAGTGTATCATTCCTCTCAATGAATTTCATCGGAATCACAGATGACCACCGCCCGAAGGCCAGTGCGAAGGCTGCACTAAGGTCCGCTACACTCAATTGGCTGGTCATATTTGCCGGCGAGAAAGCGTAGGTTAGTTTCATCGGAGATGGTCTTTTCCACCTCGCCATACCTTCAAAAAAGGAAAATCTGTCAGGATTTCTACAATTCGGAACTGTGATCATGGTATCGTTATTGAGATTCCCAGTGACAGTGAAACCCGTACTCATTTGCTTCGGTGAATCAGCGGGCTCCAACTCTTCATCGTACAAAACAGTATGATTTTTTGTGGGTTCGTCATTGGAGAGGCTACCGGAACGTAGAAATTCTTTTCTGAGCTCCCAGGTTCCGCTAGTTTGACTATCCTCCAGCCTCATGAAACTTTCCCGCGCATCATCTGGCAAAGTTCTGCCGGGGACAATGTGGGCAAGGAGGAAGATGAAGAAGAATGCGTAACCAGGAAACGGCGACATACTTTGGTTGTCTTGAGTCCGGATGTTTACTTTCTAGGGTTCCGCAAAGGTTCTTGCCTTTTAAGAGCGTGACATACTTCTAAGCAGCCTTGTTTTTTATTGAAAAAAAAAATTTAAAAAAATATTTCCTCTATTCTTAAATATATGTCATTTTAGGCTTTACAAAAATTTTTAAAATATATATTGTTTTTACAAAATCAAGGCAATTTTTTATCCTATTGTTTCCAATATATTACCATTGTATTGGAAATAAAATAATATTTAAAATGAGATTGTATTGATTAGTAATGAGTTTCATGGATAATAAATAGGGATAGTTTTGTATTTTAAAAATTTTATTTGATGTTTTATTGGTATTGATGAAATTGCTAAAAATAAATGTTTTTGAAATGAAGAGAGTTGTTAAAATTTTAATCAAAAATATTGAATTCATTAAACATTTATGTAAACAACCTAAGTTTAAAGTGTTTTTCCAATTCTATTAATAAGAAATAAAATGATACAACTTGAGAAAGTAACTTCAAACCATTAAAATGCAATGAAAAAATTAATGGATGAACTTTTCTCATATATAAGTTCAAAAAAAAATAAATCCCATTAACTTTTGCTTTATTAAATATTTTTTTAATTTAGGTAATTATTAGCTTATGAACTTGAAGAGACTTGTATTTAAATAAGAACTTTTACACTATTATCAACATATATAGTATGAAGAGTGAGTTTGGACAAAGTGTTGGTGGTACATTTTGGAGTAACTTATGAAGAAAAGAAAAAATAAAATGATGACATTTGATTATTTCAATTCATAATAATTAATTATATGTGATTATTATTCTAATTAATGGCAGTGAAGGAGGGTTCATGGGCCAACCTCTTCATATTCTTAATCTTAAAATCTAATGACTTTAATGATAAATTTAATAGTTTTAATGATTAAGTTTAATGGAAGCTGAAAAGAAATAGGTGTGTTCCAATTGTCAATTTATTGATGGATTTTTCTTTAAATACAGAAGGGGCAATTCGTACATTAGTTGCTGCTCTCTATTTTCTTTCTCTCCCAAATCGATCCACCTCAACACCGAGTCCTCTGACTTCTCTTACCATGAAAGGTAAATAGCTGGTCAGCTTATACTTCACTTTTGTTTTTTCTTCTTTTTATTTTGGATGTCTTTAGCATGAATAAATTAATCTTATTGCGTTCTTTATTCTTACTGCCGAGGTCAACATGATCTCATCTAATGGCATTTTATTTATATTACTTTTGTAAGCAGAGACATCTGTTTTAGTGGATAATTTTGTGTATGGAGTAAATTAACTTTGTAAATATGAATCGTATATAATTTCTAATGAAAATAACTTAGACTTTGAAAACATGTGATGCCATTATTTAGTTCATGTAAATTTTTTTTTGATCATGTGTAATACTGTGCATGTGAATGAATTGATGGTTGAATTTTCTGATCAAGTGCTTAAAAGATTAGTATCTTTTAAAAATTTCTTCATACAATTAAATGTGGAGTATGATTTACAAATGTCAAAAGTTTTCATATGATTTATTTTTGCATTTTGTTTATGTACGTACATTCATTAAATTATGTTATAATCAGGTATGCACGAAGCACGTTAGATCCGACTAGTTTTTATTAATTTATTGATTTTGTTCCCTTTTTATATTGGTCCATCTTGAGACCAAAAAAATTTGTTATTTAATGAGTTTATTATTTTTCATAGCGTTAGTTTAAGGAATTTTTAATGCATTTTGTAATCTAGTTTCCTCACAAGTCACAACTTAAGTCCATTCGGGGTCCCCAACCATACTTAAAACGCAATTCCAAAAGAAAAATAATTGCTGGAACTTTTGATCAAGTAATAGTGCTGATGGACCCGTACAGAGGCAAACCCGAAATCCGTAGATCTAGAGGTTCAATGAATTCTAGCTCAAATAAACCGCCAGATTTTCTAGAGGTGTTTCCCCATGAAGATGAATTTCAGTTTCTTTGGTTAGTTCTAATCTGCCATTGATTTTGTCGTCTCGAAACGATATCAATTAATGTATACATATCCTAACTTAATCAATGCCTGAATTCGGGTTTGAAGCTTCAAGAGTGAATATATACTTATTTGTTTGAATGGTGGTCATTATGGGCAGTCCTGTAGTACGTTTATCTTCATCAGCTTAAATGAAAATCGGATATTTTGCTCATGGTTCTTGTTTATTTCTTCCTACCAATCAATAGCTTCGTAGAATCAAAATAACTATGGTTAAAATATTTCTCTTTTTTCGCATTCTTGTTTGTAACGGACTTATAAAGTCGCGAGGTATGTACTTTGCATGAGCCGTGCAAAGAGAATAATTGAACAGTAGTCTCCCAAATAAATTTTTTTAAAAAAAATTAAAAAAAGTTAAAAACCCTTGTGTACCTCAGGACCTGTTTCTGCCGCAATAACTGGTGACTATTTTCAGCTATATAGTATTAATGGTTTTCCGAAACATATAATTATCTAATTTTTTTGTGTAATACTGATACACCTTCTGTCCCAAAATTATTATCCAGTTTGAGATTTCAAGTTTAGTATAATTTGAACTAGAAATGAAAACTCAAACTGGACAATAATTATTGGATGGAGGGAGTATATATTAACACCAACATGACAATTACTTTGGGATGGATAGAAAGAGTCTTTCCTAAATTTTTGTTTGTTATCCTCAGGTAATATTGGTTCTCAAATAAATTAAAAGTTTTTACAACAGGGGATCATTCTTGAGTTCACTGCTTCATTTGTTTGTATGTATCGCTGCCAGGTGTGTTTCACTGCTTCATTTCTAGCGTTGTGTAATTTTGCTTTCAGAATATAATTTGGTTTTATATGAGGTACATAATGCTCAGTAAAAGCTTGGTTGCCACGCAAAAATCTATTTCGATCTCACACAATGCCGTATTTGTTTTATTATACATTATAAATTCTTTCATTGTTTTCCAGATTAATTTTTCAATATCCCTTATTATCAAAGTACCGATGCAAATTTTGGGAGGGTTGTGATTTTGTGCACAAAGCTACTGCAGTACTACCTCATTCATTGTAGGAGAAAAAAACTGAATACACCTATTAAATTTTTAAAAGTATAATACCTTCATTATTGCATTTTCAAATTAAAAATCCGGTGCTAAAATCAAGAGCTCCAAATAGAGCTAAATCAACTTGATTATTGTTAAGAAAAAATTGCATTATCATTGTTTCCGGTGAAACGAAAACCCAATAACCCCCGGACTGTTTGCCGGTGACGATTTCATTTGTAATTGGATTAATTTTGCTCTTTCTTTGAGGAAATTTTTGTCATTCTTCTCCAAGGTTATGACGTATTGTCGTCCCCTTATAAAAAGAGCTATTTTGCTTCGCTAACATCCTTCAATCTTAGTTTAAAACTGGACCTGGACAAGGTTTTAACAACATTCCGCTTCTCCAACAAATATCTTGAAAATGGTGGTATAATTTGAAGATTTCGGCTGCAAATCTTGCGTTTTTTCTTTTTAAGTGTGTTTCGGATGTCCCGCAAATCACCCTGGCTGATTTGCGGTTCACTGGCTGATTCAATCAAAGATTTTGTTTTGTTTTGAGGGAGAACTTGTTGGAGGAGTGGTTTCTAAGATGAGTTTATCAAACTAAAATTTATTTTAGGTTCAGCCGTTCAGGCAATTATGCATGCACAACCCAGAAGCCTAACAATCTATTGTTATCATTTTGTTTGGTTGTTTTGATTTCTCCCTCAAATAGGAAATCAGATCCAAAATTGCTCAACATGAGTTGATGCAATTCAATTCGACCCTTGTATAAGAAAGTAGCAACACAGAAGTTTTCGGAAGAGAACATATGTACTAATAATAAACTAAACCTAATAATGTTAATTTTAAACATCAGAAGTATGAAATTCTTCTCAAATTCTTCTTCATTCCAAAGAAAATCATTAGTTCAAAGAAGTGGACTATTTGATCGCTACAGATGGACTAATTTCTCAATGAATCCAAATATAGCATTCTAAGGAATTGAATTAAATTATTGAAGTAATCCTTAGTGGAAGTCCGCTTCTATTTTACTCCGCAAAAAAATCATTTCCCTATCTATCAACAAATCCTGTCAAAAAAATATGCTACTATAATAATATCTCATACATATACATTTTATGTGCACCAGTGAGCTACATCAGCTAATCACAGGCATGAAACAAGAGCTGGGCGAAGGGTACGCTATATGCATCGCCTCCCGTTGACTGTGGAACTAGCTCAGAGCCATTTCAACCTCAAGATTTCACAGTTGGCCTGGTTTTGATTGGTTTAAGCTTGATTCCCAGACTTTCTGATGAAAGAAGCTCAGGAGCTATGCACCAATGTCTCGAAGGTTTTCTGCTCAGCGATCCATTGCTTTCGGCGGGTGTAAATGCTGTCTTGTTCTGGAAACCAAGTCCCATCAGGAAAAACTCAATCGGAACTATCATTGCATAAGGCAGTTCCTCTGTGACAAGTGAGCCACATGATTCAACCTGCCATGAACAAATGAAATCCATTAAGAGAGAGTAGCTGATAACAAACTACAGACCAGAAGATTTTTCAATTGATTGTTATCTTTTTGCTTTTCAACAGATGATCCAGCACAAAATAAATGAATGTAATACAAATTTCAACTCCTGCTTTTTGATTATTTTATGTCAATAAAGTCAGCAGTACACTAGACTACGAAGGCACGAGTACATGCTACTTCAACCATTCTATACCAAATGCAGGACAATCTTAAACCTGCCATTATATGCATAATCAGTAAACCAATTCGGCCCATTATGATAATCCATAATTCATAGCAAATGATTAATTTCATTGAACACTACAGTTCCACTGCCATTCTTCTCCGTAGGGCCCTTTATATCATTTCTTTGAACATGGCATAAAACACTTCAACCAGGTGGAATATATAATTTTCTCTACTGTGAAATAGAAGAGTGAAATCACCCTTAAATATTTCTCACACAATTTATCCTTGATATAAGTGTGAATATCAAAAAGTGCTGAAGTTCAGAATGCAATGTTATTCGATGTGTAGACTGAAGAAACCAACACGAGGCCTGTAACATCGTTTCACGTTACAAAGGATACAGGTAAATTTCTAACAGCTTGTTTGATCTATTGTCAGTTTGACACAATGCAGAGTTCTTTGTGCTGTGCAACTTCGATGCATTTGGGAGGTAACAAGCAAGCTGATGATATTTAGCACATTCATATTAACACAGTATAACGAAAGCCACACAAAATGCCTTTCATCTGTGAGGAATAGGGGCAAGCTCTGAACTTTCATAAATTTTCCAACGTGCTTTTTCATCGTTTAGCATTTAGATGTATGAATTAATATTATTGGATTATAATTCAACCTGATTACAAAACTTTACCTCAACAAGGGCGCAAACCTTCTTATTCATTATGGTGTTCATGTGTGTGGAATCAGCATGGAATGGACTCCTCTCCCCAACAAAAATAAGAGTTTTACACTGCAGCTTTTGCAAACTCTCAGTGAGGTCATGTCTCCTGCTCGTTTCCAGACAATAAAGAAAAAACAATATATGAGTAATCATTATAACATTCACTAAGAAGTTGCTGCATATTCACAGCCAACACTTGGTGATGAGCAAAATGATGAAATCTAAAAAAATCATAAATTAGTTAATTAGTTTCAAGTAAATTCTCCATATAACTCAGGGTTAGCATTCTCAAAATGGTGATGTGAGAATAACAATAAGAAGAAAAAAGGATTTATCATTTTTCTGCAAAATGAGATTTGAGGTTGATAGCTGATTTTTACATCTGGGCGCTCAATTTTTGTTGTAATTGATAGACTCGTTGTAGTTTGGATGAATGTTCTAATGGATAATGATGCATCGAAAAGGAACGAACATTAACATTCCTTTGCATGCATAAATTTAACAAGGCCAAAAGAAAAGAAATGAAGAAGGTTCTTACTCGTTAATTGCTTGAAGGTAGCGCATGACGTTCACGCTTTGCCGTTCATCCAGTAACTGTGAATAGAAATAAGAAAATCCAAACAACATTTCAGTTAACATCAATAAAAGTAGGCATTGGAAATTTTATGTGATTGCACTTCTGCTGCAAATGTACTAAGCAAAAGACACAGCTAAGCTATATCAATCCCAATTGACTTATCTGGTAGTGAAGTAATCTTGTGTTTTTTTCATGTTCTAGGAGGTTTATAACAAGACCCGACGAACAGTTCTTCCAAACAGCGGGCAAAAGGTACAAGTACAATAACATTGCTGTAGTTGATCTCAATTACATAGTTTCACAAGAAATTTCTACTCTATGAAACAGTACATGTAAGGTGAATCTTGGCTGGAGAAGTAGATTTTATCACCTAACTTTATGGATCCCAATATAGTTTAATTGTACGTACCTTCCACACACACATAGGTCAATTTACAAGATAAAGAGAAGAACATGTCTTATAGACTTTACAGGACACCAAACTACCAGTCAAACTCCTTCGGGACTGTACTTAAAGACAAAGCAAACATATTTGCAAAATTTTTAGTCTACCAGTGAGAAATTACAGGATGAATCATCATTATCAACATATCAACAGTTTGGCTACCTAAACCTTTGCAGACGTGAATTCTAGACACTGTATCTTTTTACCCTCAAATAAACATCATTGTGCATGAGCTAAAGTCTATTCATGCTTTGAATAGATTTGATGAACAATATTCACATCTTTATCTAGTCATCTGCATTCCTGCAATGGTGATTATCATCTTTTGTGTGAACAACAATAAAGCAGAAATTGTAAATAGGACACGCAGAATGGCACTTTCAAAGAGGTTTACAGAGTAGAATTCAAGGTTGGTAACTAATTTGGTCCTAAAATCATGATTCATTAGCAGTGTACCCATTTCTCCTATTTCTCCCAAAAACAAAAGGGAGGACTCTAATTTTGTCCATCCAATGCCCTGAAACACTGCACTCTTAACCACCCAAATGATGAATCTTCTATCTGTGTATACATGATACATCCTACATCAACAAACACAGGCACATTTCACATTGAAGATCTACTTCCTATCTAATTTTTATCATTTTTTAAAAATATGTATAGTTTACTTCCTGACTATAAAAAAATTTAAGGAAAGAAGGTGATAACTGTAAGTGTGAGTTAAATATTCTCACCCTTCGAGAATTTTCTATTATGTCAGATTCAGCACTGTGGACTCCTCTCCTTAGTTCCTGAAACAAAATCCTTGGGATTAAAGTACTGACTGAGATTTTCGAAATAAGAATCTGCAGTATACAAGGACACAACTACCTTACTGAAATAACGCAGGAGAAGGCACTCTTTCAGTAGACCACGCATACCATAGAAGTATAATAGGTTTAACAAAATCTGCAAAAGTAGTTTACATGTGTAAGACAGATTTCAAATGCAATGACCAATTTCACTTAGCAATACAAATGCTTAAATCAATGGGGTATTTCAATAGGCAGACATCCTTTCAGGAAATACCCATGGTTGTCCTATTTGTGTAATTTTATTAGTATGTCTGTAGTTTCTTTTTAATACTCTCAACTCCAAAATTTTCTGCAATACTTGAAAATACGAACAGTATATTTGTATTTTGAGAACCTTGGAGCCTGTAATTGATATTATGAAATGACAGGACACAATTAATCCCAGCTTTCTACTATGATCTCATATTGAAGATTTTTCTTAGTACCTTATTATATATCCATTCCCTCCACGATGGTTCTCTGCATAATGGTGAGACCAGAATAAGAGCAGCGACCCGTTCTTCATATTTCGTCTGCGGCAGTTAAAAGCAACCAGAATGAATCTGTATCAAGTTAAGCTGAATCGGAGAAGGGAATGATGGACACTTACAGCAAATAACGTTAAAATGTAGGCACCAGCGGTTACACCCAAACAGAAGACTTTCTCCAATCTGAAAAAAATAATTTCTCATTTAGAATATATCAAAACATTGGAGAAAAACTATTAAATAAGGAACACCGACTGAGTTGATTTATACTTTAAACTCCCAAATCACAAATTCATATCAAATAGAAGGACAAATATATTAAGTTTTAAGACACCATTGTGACAGTTAATATTGAACTCATGTTATAAAGACCTACAAAAATAAAAAGAGTTACATACCCGAAGAAATCAACCACCTCCGCCACCTGGTCTGCAAGTTCATCAACACTAAGCAAAGGCATATCTGCAGATATCACGCCTGCTCCTAACTGCAAAACCACTTATAAATGCAATAATGCATTACAAATACATCAACCAGCAACAGCTACAACTAACAAACCGCATGGAGTCAACTGGATTACTGGAGAAAACAACAAAGAGAATAAGAGATTACGGACCTCGTGCCCAGGGGCATCAACATTATAGATGCAGAAGTTCTGAAGCAACAAAGAAGCGGCATCTTGGCACAAGAAGAGACCTCTGAAGCAAGACATGACTGTCAAAAGCACAAATGATGTATTAGTCATTGACGCCCATATTTTTCTTTCTTCAAAATAATCTAGAGCAACATGTGAAAAATAAGGCTTTCATACTTTAGAAAAAGACACAAATCATATGTTCAACAGAACTTCGACAATTTAATAAAGACAAGTTACAGAAATGGCACTAACTTTATAAGCAACGGTGACCTCAGTAGTGGCTCTAGAAGCGAGTAGCTCTGAAAATGGCTGTAAACGTGTATTTATCCCATTCTAAACAATTCCCAACAATTATAGATTCAAAAAATTGGCGAAAAACATGCATTTGGAAGCTTCATTTCTCGTTTGACTTGTCTGACCAATACAAACTTTATTCCGAGATAAGAAGAAATCTGTAATCTATTATGGTTTAACCACCACCCATTATTCTCATATGATGAATCCATTGAAGAATTTAGTGGCTACCAATTTCAGGAGAAAAGGAGGATAATTAGGTTTGATGATTGCTAACGGACAACCAAGGTAGAAACAATGACTAACAATTACTTGTACAGACAATTACATCATACTTCAAATCACAGCTGCCATACAAGAATAAGAATAAGGATAAGACTAAATCATTATAGTTAGAACCTCAAATTTTTGGCAATCAGCCCCATTCAAAACACACAATTGGTGGAAGATGCAAGATGACAACATACTCAACTTCAAGAGAGATGTACAATAGAATACCAAAAGAAAACATAACAGTTCGAAGAATCATTTACAGAGACATGAAATTATTGAGATGAAACATGATAAATTGAAGGGGAAGATAACCATACAGTTCAGAGCAACATCAGGGTATGTAATTAAAGCAGGCTTTTGTTGATCCCCGCAAACAAAAACTGAGATTGAACCTTTGCTAGTCTTAACACGAACCTCCTGCAAGAGCCAATCAGACAAAAACTTAACAGTTTAGAGAATCCCTCAACCCTAAAGTTCAAGAAACCCATTTCAAATGGAACAATAACAGAATGAAACTACAACAATAATAACTTTAAGTCTGCATTTTGGAGTTAGGAACAAGAACAGGACAGAACCCAATAGTGTGCAATGAAATATGAAGATAAGAAAATGGGTAATGAAGGAATGATTTACCTTCCCTCCCAGAGATTCCACATTATCAATATCAATGGCCACAGAATCATTTGAAACCCCCATTGATCCACTTCCAGTTCGTTATAAATTCTTCCAATCAGAAACTTTAAAGTTCGAGAACTAACAATGCTCTGCTGCAGCTGAGGTTTCAACTTCAACCCAATCCTAAAAATGACCAATCAAAAAGGAAAGAAATCCAACTAGAAACAAAGAAGATGACCATGAAAAACTTTTTATGAGCTAACTTTGCAGTGTCTCTTGTGTGTGTGTGTGTGTGCGTGTTTACTTTTCTTTGTCTTGTTTTGCTAGATTTTGAACATCTAATAGTTCTGTGAAATGAGGAAAATGAAAGTAAAAGGGAAAAAAAGAAAAAAAGTCGAAGATCACAGTGGCAGGCTTTTTATCCTTTTATATATGGATTTTATTGATTTTAATTAATTAATAATTTTAAGGAGAAAACAACAAAATCGTGGTTGGCTTTTATGTGATCGGGGGCTGATTTTTAATAAGGAAATAAATAGATTTTGTTCCTAACATGAAAGGAAACAAATCAAACACTAGTAGTATCATCTTTGTAATTATGAAAAATTAAAAATATCCTCTAGATATTTCAATATTTTGACATATTTATTGTGTAGTCCATAATCATGATTATATTGATTGTTTAGTACATAATGAGAAAACATTTTGCTTCCCCTTTTCAGCAAATATTAATAAATAATTAATATAAAAAAAAAGAACATTTTGCTTCCTTTTGTTAATTACATAGCGAACAACCATTTTTAGGGACGATTTTTGTTTTCCTTTTTTTTGGGTCGGAAGAGGGTAACATTTTGTTTGTTAGCAAAATAGTAATAAGGATTTCATGTACTACATTTCTCTGTAACATGTAAAATTCTAGTGAATGTTATGTGACACGATAAAAGTGCATCAAATCTTTTACCAATAATTTGAGATAAATTTTCTAAATATTTCCTTTGTCTACAAACAATAGTCTATATTGTAAATTATAAATCATACTAATGAGCGAATAGTACTCACTCCGTCCCACAAAAAAAGTCCAGTTGAATAAAAAAGTTTGTCCAAAAAAATAGTTCAGTTTCACAAAAGTCAAAATTAATTGAATTGAAATGACTTAAATATCCAAAAAAGTACTTGTAAGGAAAATAAGGTCCACTTCCTTTGTTTTTCATTTTCTTTAGTTTTCTCCTATTTTTTCAAATAATTATATCTTTTAATACATGAATAATTAAAAAAAAAGTGTTATATATCAAATTACTCTACGTAACGAGATCTTTCCATCAAGATCCATTGTCAATATATTTTTTGAGATAAAAATTTTGATCAAATTTAAGTTGTAAAATAAATACATATATAGTTAACTTTTATAAAAATAACTAGAAGGGGCATTAGTGAAAGTTAGGGGAATAAAATAAATTGTACAATTGGTGTATTTACCAAATTAAAAAAGTTATATATTTTGAAACTGAACTATTTATTTGGAACGGAGAAGTATTTCATTTGTTTACAACTTACAATGTGAACAATTATTTCTAATGAGCAAATAGAGTATTATTTACTTTCTATGTCTTAAAAAATATTATCTAGTTTGAAATTTGTACTTTTAATATAATGAATTAACAATGAAAATCCAAACTGAACATTAATTTCAGGACTGAAGGAATAGTTCATTAATTTTCTTTTTCCAAAATAGGTACAAAAATCTGGTAATTAAACACTTTTTAATTAAAGAAACATACAAACCAGGGAGAAAAAAAAAAAAAAACTCCCTCCATTCTCCATCAGTGATTCCATCTATTCGACCAAAAAAATTATTTAACTCATCACTTTTCTTACTTCTTCTTTTAGAGAGCAGAAATGACTAAATGCATTAAATTTAGAAATTTATAAAGAGTTATACTCTTGTGAAAGATTTTCGTTTCCCCCATTTATGGAATCATGATTACATATTAAAATGGACTAATATGAAAGGGTAAATGCGAAATGAGACGTTCATTTTTATTTTATTTTAAAAATTTTCTAATAATGATTGATGTAGAAAATGAAGAATGCAATGATTTGTGTTGGGATTGCTTTGAGACGGTGAGAGATCTGTGGGCCATAATGCCCCCAATTTCTGATGGGCCTCACGTGGGTTGAAGATGCATTGGATCATACATGGGAATCCAAAAGAAAATTTACGCGGAAATTAATTATTATTTATTATTAAAAAAACTAATAAAATACAGACACCCTATACAGGCATTATGCATCTGGCCGCCCACCTGGCAACAGCAAAAAATGACAATACTTTTTGTCTTTAACACAAGAAATCAATTATCCTTTCTTCAATAATAATAAGAATAATAATTTTAAAAATAAATCAATGATTGCTGTCCTATGGCTGCTGTGATTTTAATAATTTGTTAATTGAAATACCAGACCGATTAGTAAAATAAACCAAATAAAATTGATGATTATTTAATTTGAATTTTTATTTTTAGTAGTATTATTAAAATAATAATTCCTGTCAAACTATAAGATTGAAGTTGGCACTTTTGTTAGAAGTAATTTTAAGAGAAACGAATAGAGTTATATCAATTTCCGAACATGAAATCACTCAGGTGTCACCCAACCGAACTCAAGATCTCTAATTCGAGTCTTAAAACACTTTCTCGTAGCCAACTAGTATTAACTATAAAAATATAAGTGTATATTCGCCAAATTCAAAAGAATAGAGTATATTGAATTTTATAATTTGTTTTAAAAATGATATATACTCCATCCTTCTCAAAATTATAGTCCAGTTTGTGTTTTCATTTCTAGTTCAATTCGTACTAAAACTGAAAGCTCAAACTGGATAATAATTTTGAGACGGAGAGAATATAAATTGTAAAACTCGATGCGAACTATTTTTTTGGACAGAATTTTTTTCTTTTTAGTCTCAATCATTGCCCTTGTTCTTTTGTTGTGGTACAAACAATGTAATCCATCATTAATTTATCCATTGATCAACCGAAACACATGCAATTTGGTGGGATGATTAGGGTAGGATGAGGCGTTAATGATGCTCTAAAAGGCAACATACATATCGTCGGATAATTCTTGGTATGTGTATGGAATCTTTAGATTGTGTTGTCTAATTAGAGCATAAAATAGATGGAAAGCCACATTGACTCATCATCAATCATCGACTTTCATCAGTTTCAGCCTATCACGGAGAAATTGACGTCTTAATTTATTCCACCCCCACCCAAATTTTACTCGTTTTTGCCACTCCGATTTCTCTCTCCTTTTCCTAAGTCTTTTTTTTTTTCTTTTATAATTTGAGAAAGTCCTTTTCCTAAGTCAAGCAAAATGATTTACCAGACCGCTATAGATTTCTTTTCAGTTTTCACTGCTTTCGTCGTAAAAAAGATAATCAACTTTTGTTGCGCAGTTACAGACGGAGGATTATTATTATTTTATGTTGGTGCAAAGTACTGGACAAAAACATTGACATTCATTTTTGTAGCTCGAGTTACATTCCTCAACAAAATGTCATGTTCAACTTGTTATTCACTTGAGCATTTTTAGCATAATGGCTCATTTTTCTTCATTTCCCTACTCTTTTATGCCATTTACTCACCCTACAATGATAAAACATAAAACATGGAAAATGTACACTTTTAACTCAATTCATCCACAAGAAATGAGTCAAAATTAATGAAAAATTGCGTGAAATCATATGAGATAGCGACTATATTCACTTCTCATCACACCCCAAAACTTAAACTTTCGTTCGTCCTGAACAAAGACCATTACAACTTAAAGAGGGCAATGTTTTACATCACAGATAATGACTCATTCCACACATTTGTGCACATTCATTTTTCTCAATAGCAAGCATGAGCAATATTGAAGACAAGAATTTACTCAAAACACTATCACTCTCATTAAAGATGCAAGTTTTTGATGTGGTACATTGGCAAGCATGAAAGTATTAGATTCTATAAACAATGTGGAGTGCCAAAGATCCAACAAAATGCAACACCCTATAGGCCTCTCATGAGGAATGAAGGTTTCATTGTAAAACTCAATGATAGAATTGCATTACACACTCTGTTGGACTCGAGAATTCACTAAGATACCTCAATGATCATTGAGTCTATTTAGCAATTTAGTTCAAAGAAAATACAAGTGTTACACAAATCTCAAAACCATCGTCATTGAATTCATCATATATGCATAAATTGGTCACCTCTTCAATGGATTCACTCAATACGCTCAAGGTTGGGACATTCAATCATAGAGTCAATAAAGGTTCCCTCTTCATAGGCTTGCCGAGAATCATATCGCACACACAATATAATGGTTTAATGCACAAATCAAAGGGCCTTTATCAAGGTTGTAGTGGGGCTAGGGACGTTAAGGGAATCAAAAAGCTAATTATCAAAGAAATTGGAACACTTAATTCATATCATGTTAAAAACCTCTTTCCCCTCAAACTTTAATTTTGCACTACACAAACCCCAGAAACCAATATTTTCTTCTTGAACATAGAGACACATAACACCACCAAACTTGAGAAATTTCATCATTTAAGGACAAAAGCATATTCATGTTTGCTCACCAATAATTTTTTTTTCTTTCTCATTTACTCCCTTTTTCATCATTTTCTTACAAAGAGCTTTTTCTCACATATATCAACACTTTTTTTTTTCAAGTATAAGCAAGCTATCTCATTCCCCATTCATCATGCATCAAAAATTACAAATCCAAATTCCTTTGATAATGGACAAAGAGAAAGCCAAAATAGGGAAAAGTGTTAATATATAGTAGGTTAAATCGAAAAAATTAAGGCTCAAAAGATCAATGTGGTTCACTAAAGGATAATAATGGGTAGGTGTTTTCGTAAGCCAAAAATAATTAATCCTAAGTGCCCTCATCATCTTTGTGCACAAACCATATGTGTGGTGTTGAAATGTATAACAAGGCAAGGTCAAGAATTAGAAACCATTGAAGATACACTCAATGTAAGAGACTCAATAAGGAAAGTTGAGAGCATTTAGTGTTGCTCTTCT